CTCTTCTTGTACGCTCGAAGCTCTCTACGGCGTCTGTCTGGCTCCCTTCAGCTCCCATGGGCCTTCGGGGGCGGCTGCTGACGACGGTATTTATTGGGGGGGGGGGGATTTGGCGGAGTTTTTTTTGGGGGCCTTTTTCGATTCTCTATGGCCGAAATTCAAGGGCCCCCACCCCCCCCCCCAACCCAATACCAGGTGTTTCTCCGTGATTGGGATGACGGTTGCGCCGCAGAACACCGTCTTGCCGTCCGCTAGTGCAGGAATGGGGGGGGGGGGTGGGCGAAGAGGAAGAAGTGAAGCAGTTGAAGGTGCAGTGGTAGGTGAGGTAGAACAGGTGTGCCATTGCATCACACTCTTTGATCGATCAGCATTTAGCAGTGCGCTCGCATGGCACTTCACCGCCCTTCCCCCGGCACCACCACGAAGATGATGAACGGGACAGTGACGTCCAAGCCTCAACACCACCATCATCGCCACCACCTCTATCACAACGACACCGCCACCACCATCGCATCGCCACAGCTGCTTCCCCCTCGTACCGTCTTCGCGCCACGCGGAGAGACGCACAACGGGCGAAATGCCACGCGCCCATTGCAACTTCCCATCCACAACTGAAACACAATGATGGTTTGGTGTTGGGTGACGTGGGTACGCAATCATTGGCATCAGCAAACGAGTTTATACACACACAAACGCACACGCACACACACACACACACACTCTCTCTCTCTCTCACACACACACACACACACACACACACACACACACACACACACACACACACACACACACACACACACACACACACACACACACACACACACACCGGTGCTCACGTTTTGTTGTGACGAGTGCTGTGGGCGATCTGAAGTCAAACGATTCGCACCACATGGGGTCCATTTCCCGCCGAAACACCTGCACGATATTCAAGGCAGGAGGGTGAGGGTTTTTGAGGTGCTCATGATCACACACACACACACACACAAACACACACACACACAGGCACAGGCACACACACACACACACACACAAGCACACACCTTGGAGCGCCTGACAGTCTCTGCGTTGATGTGTGCGGTTTCGGGGAGGTGGAAGGATTCTCCACTGACGGCGTTTTGTTCCAGCGTGACACGGACAAAGAGACCTGTGTGCGAAAACCCAGCGCCCTCAACAACGCTGCATACAGGCAACGAACAATGGCAAGCAGTGGGGTTAAAGGGCGGTGGGGGAAGGGAGAAAGAAGGTGGGAAGGTGAGGCCAGAACAAGAAGGAAGACGTGAGAGAAGAAGAAAGACAGAGCATTGGGAACAGGAACATGCGACCAGATCTTTACAACACACACACACACACATCAGGACAGCGGGCGAGTGCAACGTACACAACTTTTGCGTTCCACTGCCCGGCTGGGTGCTGTTCAATCTCCACATCGACGTTGATGCGCCCCGTGATGTCCGTCTCCTCAGACGTCGCCTGAATCGATCACGCGCAGATGTGATGCGTGTGTGTGTGTGTGTGAGTGAGTGCGTGTGTGTATGTGAGAGAGAGAGAGAGAGAGAGTGTGTGTGTGTGTGTGTGTGTGTGTGTGCGTGCGCATGCGTGAGTGCGAATGTACAAATGTGTATGAGTGTATGCATGTGCAATATGGGTGTGCCCCTTGAGTGTTGCAGCAGTCGGCCACAGCGCTTTCTTGCACGTCCACCTCCACTCAACCTTGCCCCCCCACCACACACACACCCTCGAACTGCTTCCCTCTGGTGTCTCTCACCCGCAGCGGAAACCAGTCATCAATCATCGTCTTCTCCTGCAGCTTCTGCTTGGGAATGTCCACCTGCAGCAGCGGGGCGTGGGATGATAGTATGCGTGAATGTGTTTGATCACGTGTGTGAATGTGTGTGAGGGGGTACATGTGTGTTTGTGTATGTTGGTGCGTGTTTATGTGTGTGTATGCACACGTGTCCACGGCAGCTTGGGCAAGGTCGCAAGGTCCAGTGCATGTGCAAAGCAAAGGTGCCACCACTGTCGCTGGCTGCACCTTGGCGATGGGGACGTCTGCTGCTTTGGTGATTTCGTGCAGATACACCGATACGAGCGACAAATCTTCGGGGATGACCACTTGGAACGATTGATCCCAGTACGGCCTGCAGCAAAGACCGGCACAGGGCGGAGGTACGGGCATGGTTGAGCATGGCTACGTGCGTGCATGTGGCTGATGTTGTGCGTGTGCTTGTTGTGCGTGCTTGCGTACACGTTCTTCAAAATCACCATTCGTGAATGAAGCGGTAATGGCGCAGGCCTTAGGCAACAGACTGATCCGTGCGTCCACCCCGCGCCTGACATGACAGCGGCAACTCACTTGAGCTCCTCCAGCGGTTGTGTTCGTGCAACTTCGTGGCCGTCAACGCGTGCGCTGGCACACCATGATGTTCCCTTTGCCTGGCACCTCCGCTCCAAGCCTTTGGCATTCCATTGCACTGGACGTTGTCGCCGTGGAAAGGGGGTTGAAGTGGCGAGTGGTGTTGGTGGTGGAACGGTGGCATCGTAGGAGTGTGGGAGTGTTGAGATGAGCACATCATGTTCCCGTCTGCTTGCCATTGAAAACGCGCACAGAGAGGCAGAGAGAGAGAGAGAAAGAGAAACGCACGCACGCATGCACGCACGCACGCACGCACGCACGCACGCACGCACACGCACACACACACACACACACGCACACACACACACACACACGCACACACACAACACACACACACACACACACACTGAACGTACGGGGGCATCTGACTTCGAACGAGAGAAACCGTAACGAAAACGATCGCAGTGCGCTCTGCCCGCCTACTGGTCAGGATCCAACCACATCCTATGATACTTACCTAGAGGAATTTACATTACATACGTAACCCAGGCTTCTAAGGGACTCGAAGCAACCGTAGGGTTTTGAAGCCATGGGATTACTGCCATACTGGTAGTTGGCGGGACGGACTCTCCCAGACGTCACGCACGCACACACACACGCACGCACACACACACGCACAGAAACACACCCAGCGTGATAGAGAGCCTGCGATCATAGCGAGGGCCCTTCTTGCGCATCATGGGTTGGACGACGTGGGCGTCCAGCAAATGCTTGGGATCCGCCATTTCACACCAGAGAGGTCAAACGCAGGCTGCTGCCAAAACACACACCAACACAACCACAAACAAAACCACAACGACAAAACCACAGGTGTTGTTGTGTTGAGTGTGACACACAAGCAGCTCGCAAGCAGTACACAGTGCTTTATGCTCACACACACACACACACACAACACATGTGTGTTCATAACAAGAGGTGCATGTATCCTCCTCCACCACCATCCCCACACCTCGACGCGCAGTGCTTTGCTGGCTTGCTTTGTGGCGCACAAAAACAACAAAACAAAGCTGGTGAGGGCAAAATTGCCTTTGTCCCAAGTCAATTTTGTCTTGCGAATTTGGCGCTCTCAACAAGAAAGAGGAAAGAAGAGGAAAGAGGACACGCAGCAGCCAACCACAACAGCGGCCAGCCAGTGCAACGATGAACGGCAACGGGAGGGAGGAAGCTGATGCTGCTGGGGAGAATCACCAGGACGAGGCGGATGCCATGGCGATCCTGTTTGAGGATGAGCAAGAAGCAGATGTTAGTCCAGTTGGCGTGAGAACACGCAGCAGGACACGGAGAAAGCAGGACCAGGCCGAGGGGATTGTGCAAGTGGAGGAAGACGAGGAGGAGGAGGAGGAGGGCGAGGGCGACGAAGTAGTGGATGATGGCGATGAGGTGGTCGTGACAGAGACGACCGATCCCGATGGCATGCACCACATTGATGTGAAGGTGCACAAGCACGCCACAGCCACGAATCGGGACTCTGTCATCATCGAATGCGATATCCCAGAGGTTGGTGTGTGTGTATGTGTGTGTGTGCGTGCGTGTGCATGCGTGCGTGCGTGTGTGCGTGTGTGTGTGCGTGCGTGCGTCTGTGTGTGTGTGTGTGTGTGTGTGTGTGCTTGTGTGTGTGTGTATGTGCGTGCGTGTGTGTGCCGGTACAGAGCGCTGCACACGAGCACATGCCGGTGGTTGGAGGTGTGCGTGTGGGAGAGCTATTTCTTCGCTGTTGCAGCCACCAATGATGCACGTGCTTGTTGTGGCATGTGTGCTGGTCCACTGCAGGTGTGCAAGCAAAAGCCATGTATTCTGGGCGTGGACGAAGCCGGCCGCGGACCAGTTTGCGGTGCGTACGCGAGCGCAACCTCGCATTATGTCAATGAGCGCTCACATTGCTCTCCTGCCTGCCCTTGTTCAATTGAGGCAATGGTGTCCGTAAGCGTTGGCGTGCGTTTGTGTGCATGTGAGTGGATGGGAGCGAAAACAACACATGAGCCCCCATCGATCGTTCATCGCGATGGCGATACCCGCATGACCCAGGTCCCATGGTGTATGGTGTCGCATTTGCGCCAAAGCCAATGGAGAAGACGCTGAAGAACATGGGCTTTACCGACTCCAAAGTCGTCAAGGAAGAGGAACGCGAGCGCTTGTTCACAGAGATGAAGGTGTGTGTCCGTGGATGTGCGTGTGGTTTCGTTTGTGTACACGTGTGCGTGTGCTTGAGTGCGCTTGCATACGCGTGTGGTTAAGTGCACGTGCATACGCGTGCACAGGTCCACCCGTGTAAGCGCGTGCGCGTGATCAAGTCACTGGTTTCGAACCTTGAACGATTGCCCTTCTCACAGGCCCCTAATTCCCCCCCCCGTCCAACCGCCTCCCACCTCTCGCTCACCCTTCTTCTCTGCCGT